TGTGCGCTTAGAAAATGAATTTTATTGATATCTAATAAAAGTATAAATTATTTAAATATTTTATATTAGTAACTTTCCAGTTTGTCCTTTATTACACTTTAGTAATTTAGCTTCGTTTATTTTTAAGATTATGGAAAGTTATATACCCAAAAACAGTAAGAGACATCTGAGTCCAACACAAAAAAAATAGTGATACTTATTGATGTGAAACTTACCTTACACAATTTTCCAACAGCACTGATGATTTGAGCTGTTAGATAAACTGTTTGAGGATGCCTCTTTGCAGACTGCTTCATAGCGTTCACATGATCAGCTAATAATGCAGGCATCTTCTCAGCCATATGAAGAAATACTTGTAAAGTTGGAGTGACAGTTACTGAACTGCTTAAATATTCACAGAGTTGTGGAACGCTTGCTTCTAATAACTAGGGAAAATTAAAACAGTATTAATGTCTTATCAGGACGGAAAGAGTCTTTAGATTTTCATAATTTCACTTCCAAATATTTTTTTTTAATTTAGTTCCTTGAACATTTCCATATTTGCAAACCATCTTTCAGTAGATGGACACGAGTTCAATCACGACTATGACGTGTTACATTTAGAAGAGAAAAGTTGGAAACTCAAATCTTTTGGAGTGTTTAGAAATGAAATGATTTGAGAATTCGAGACATTTACTGAATGACCAAATAGAATCAAATCACTCCCCGTTACTCTAACACTATGAACTAATTTAACTGTCACAGAACATGGGAGTTTCCATTGGATTGTTAAATCTGCAATATCATACAAAGTCTATCTTGACCTGCATTGAAAAGCTGAAATATAAATTTTCAAATAATTCATGAAATTCAATATGATGTGATATTTTCTTATCTGATACCACACGGGCTTGAATTATCCTTGGTAATTTTTTTTACTAACAAGAAAATTAAGACCTGCTTTTGGATCAAATTATTTTCAAAACATTTGTGACATTGAAAAAATGGATCAGTCTTCAAAACTAACCCAATGAAGTTTTTAAAAAACTGATTCTTTTTACATATTAATTTGATTTTTTAAAGTTTTTGTTCTGGTGAAGCAAAATTCTTTTTGATAGATCCACCCCAACATGAAAATGAGGATCCAATTTCCATAAAATTCATAATTAAATGATATTTACCGATGGGTTGTCCTTGGCAATGAGGGCGAATAAGTTCAATAGGGCCAATTTTTCTTGAGTATCACAGTGAGGAAGTAGTGAAACCAAAGCCATTGCATGACCTTGGAATGGTTCTGGAGACACTTCATATATATTAGGTAACACTCTACACAAAGGATAATTTCCTGAAAAATACTTTTTTTGAATAAACCTTACAAATCTCTAGCTGAATCACCTATTCGTTATGGTATTCTGGTGTGGGGAGCAATGAACAAGAGTCCCTTGCGTAATACAGAACTATGTTTGAAGGTGATTGACAATGTTTCGTGATGAATTTCACTAGTTCGGACTTCCATTGTCTACTATATAAAATGATTTGAAATCCCTGAAACAAGTAAAAAAGAATAATTAAAAAAGGATAGCTGAAAATAACAATTATATTAAGCAACAATAANTATTAAATTTGTAATATTCTACTCCTAAGGATAAAACGTATTAAAAGTTATAAAACCTTTTCTATAGAATCAAAAAAAAAATCTTCGAAAATTATCAATTTATCAAAATATTAGAACACCAATAGATACACTGCCACTAAATTTTTTCCTAACTCTCTGTACACAACTGTAGTTTTATATTAATTAGTATAACTTTGTAGCTTAACAAAAGTGATAAGTCACTTAGATGCTATTTTATACACAATATTTACTTGATGTACTGCAAGTATTGTCTTTATATCTGTTTCTCTTCTATAGTGTTTTATTTTTATTTTCTCTATCAATTAAATAAATAAATAAAATACCAGTACTACACCAAAGGTTCCAAACAGTCCATCATAACTATATACACCTTTGCACTATTTTTATATATTTATAATATTTACCCCTGAGTTTAGCTCAAAATGAAATCATACTCAAGAAAACTTATCAAAGTATGAAAACGTGAATATATTTAGAACTAACTGTCTTATCATACACATTCATATTTACTTCTTTGATTGACGACTTGTTTATTTTGTGGAAATTCATGTTCACTGAGGATACACTATAAAAACACACTTTTGTCTACTTTCCATGATAGTTCCATATTTGTTGTTGTTGTTTGTCCATTACACCATTAGTTTTGAAAATGGTGTAATAATAATAATATTTATTCAATTGGATCATCTATAAATGACATTGAGTATGTCAAAACGTGTGCAAATACAAAATTAAAAATACAAACTCTGTGCACTTAGAGGCACAATATACAATTTACATAGATAATATAATATATAAAGTCATAACCTACAATAATCCGTTATTTATGCAACAGCTTATTAAAATCGGCCTAAGATGTTGGACATGTACATCTAATATATAAAAATGGATGTTTGTTGGTTGGTTGGTGGGTAAGTGATAAACTTCTACATCGCTCAACCGATCGTGATGAAACTTGACATGTGTAAGTAATTTTTCATAGAGAAGGTTTTTAGGCTATCAATTTTTCTGTAACTCGCCACTAGATNTTCTTGAATGATTAAAACGTAAAAGCACAGTTTTTCTTTCATTTAACAAGAGACCATTGTCTGAGAACCACTTTTGGGTTCCTTTTATTTCATCAGATGCTTTATTAACTGTGACTTAATATTTTCCTGAGTTATCAATAAAGATGTGTCATCAGCATGTATAACGAACTGATCACTATAAAAATCATTTACATATATTATATATAAGAGTGGACCTAATATAGAACCCTGAGGAACACGAGGGAACAATTTTTAGATTCTGATTAATTGTTTTTATAGTGTATCCTCAGTGACATTCATATTTCTTTTGTTTATTTCCTTTATTCATATAAACCTAATAAAACTATTGCTAGTGATTTAAAGAAGTTTAACACTTCTTAATTTTTTGAATAGATGAGTAACGAAGATAGATCTGTCTTTACCTGAAATTATCGAGTCCATGATGGGTTGGACATGTGGTGTTAGTAGAGAGGCGTGTTCCATTGCAGCAAGAGATAAATAAGAAGCCATATTTCTCGATAACTCTTTATTTCCTTTATGTAAAAACTTAACTGCTACAGGCAAGGCTCTTTGCATAACCGACTTCTTACTATAATTCTGAAAAGATTCTCAAATCACCAACTTACACTGACGCATTGGACAATCAATTTACCAAAAATATACAGGAAATAATGTCGCTGGAGATCTTAGCATGAGGAGGATCTTCGTCTCTGGCAGAGATTTGTAGATTGTGATGAAGACATGATTCTAAGAGAGCAACAAGAGCTTCACAGTGCTGCTCCACACTTCCTGTTTCTCTTATACAAGAAGTGACTCGAGTAACGCAAATCTCTACTACACTTTGATCATTATCATTGTTCACGTAATCAGGAAAAGAAGCGATAACAGTAATCTCTTTCAACTGAAACATAAATTATGAATAGCAAATTACAATACAATATTGAGATAACTTATTTTACGTTTTGAAATTCAATCAAGATTTATTTTCATATTTATTACATGGCTAACAGCCCTACTACTGATAATACAGCCCAAAAACTCTAACTGAACTTCAGACTAATGCTCAAATGTCTATCGCCTTATTGGCTCACTTCGTACTGCACTTTCCGAACTAGAATAAGACTCCTCTAGATAGAGGTAAAGCTTATATAACTCGATGGAGGTCTTCGGAAGAGGATGGAACAATTCTCGAACAGACCCAGCATTCCAAAAACATCAAGAGAAATTGAACACAAGTGGGGTTAAGGTCGCCGCCGATCGAAGAAGTTCAGCGTCATTTTATTCATAGTTGACAACACTACACCTTTCTTTGAGATTGTTCGTCCCGAACAACATTCCAAGCAGGAACATCATGACTCATGTAAGGAATCAGTTGCTCTACACGGATGAACTTAAGACTTCCTTTTGGGCGACAATCGAATTCTGTACACAAAATTGTTTATCTTTTTGATTACCAAGTAAGTTTCGCGCCATGGTCTCTGCAATTTGGGAAACAACCTTACCGCCGTTGGGGTTGGTAGAGCCACAATGCATCACCCTCCTTGAATTTCATCGGCACCGACTTTTTGTCAAATCATATCTTCATCCTGACGCTGAAAAGCTGTTATTTGGATTTTGGAAATTTGTAGGCGATTTCAAGTCTCTCTCTCTCTCTCGGGTTATTCAGATACTTTGCCTTTTGGGCATCGTCAGTGATGGGCAGGCGGCCTTTGATTATGGATGATCAGAGGAGTGCATATTCAACTTCCTTTTCATGCAAGCTTTTATTTAAATTGCAACATTTATATGTATGTATTCATGTATGTATGTACATACTCGTATGTTAGTTCAGACTAAATATCCCCACTGAATTTTGAAACACTTATCCTGAACCGATGGTTCTAAAATTATGTAAACACGTTTAGTTTGGGTGATAACACATGTAACTCTAAATCCAATATGGCGGACCGCCCAAGATGATGGAATAGTTTTCTTCTCTACCCCCAAACCAAAGTTCAATCAAGCCCAAGAGAGCAAAGACCAAAAAAGCTCACCAAATGCGATCAAATGACATGGTTTTGCTCCCTGTTTTTTTTTACTGCCGTGGTGTAGTACATCAGGAGTTCTTACTACATGGTCGAATGATCATTAAGGAGTATTATCTTGAAGTTATGAGCGACTTACGAGAAGCACTATAATGAAAACGTCCGGTATTGTGGAAATTAAATTCATGGCTCACTAGACATTGCTTGTTCGTAATTTTTTGGCTACAAAACAACACCTTAATCATGCCTCAGCCACTGTATTCACCAGATTTGGCCCTCTGCGACTTTTTCCTGTTCCCAAGATTGAAGATGTCAATGAAAGGTCAGCGTTTTGCGACGATTGAGGAGATAAAAACTGAAACGCTGAGAGAGCTCATCTACATATTGAAAATAGCATATTAGAATTGCTTCGAGGATTGGAAAAATGCTGGCACAAGTGTGCTATATTTGAGGAGGATTACATTGAAGGGAACAAAATAGAAATTGATGAATAAATATTTTTTGAGGAAAATGAAAATTCACCTCATTTTTTGAACAGACCTCTCTTACTACCCCCCAATTCCAATCCAAAATTGTAGTTTAAACCATGTAAATGATTTTTATTCAAATCATTACTATCAGCAGATTTTAAGGAAAAAATATTAAGCCATCAATATAAAATATGCACATATACCTGTTATAATAATATAAATTATTTATTTGAATCAGAGAAAATATTTACGCAACTAAATTTTGATGTGATTACTCTTACAGCTTTGTAACACAGGGTATGCCAAAAATTCTGAAAAGATATTTGAATTAATTTGGTAGCTATATACAATGTTCTACTGTGAGAAAATAGCCAAATATACATTATGATAAATGAAAAATAAAACTTTCTGTTTTTTTACCACTTTCATGCGTAACTAACGTTGTTACTGCAATTTCATCCTGTAAAGACATTTTCAAACAATTACAATAAAGTATTGAGTTTATTTTTTTTGAAAATATCTTTATAGGACGAAACTGCAGTAACAACATTAGTTACAAATAAAAGTGGTAAAAAAACATAGAAAGTTTTATTTCTCATTTTTCATGATGATCTCATACCACATAGTAACAGCTACATCCATCAATTTATGAATATATATTCTATTGATATCTAGATGCCTGTAATCGAGATAATAATACACTTTGTTATTGGTATTTCAGAATATAGTTTTTCTTGTGAGATGTCCATTGAAAAAGAAAATTGATGACATTTCTGTTTGAAGGGGAAATATCCAAAAAATTGGTATTAAGTATGCTAAATAAATTTGTATCACTGTATACCCATACATAAGTACCAAATTTGAAAAACATTAATTTGCAAATAGAAGATATGTTTACCCATTTTGGTACTATTGGTGTGGGTGAAAATTCTCAAGATTATATCGAAAAATATTCTCATTATTTTTCCTATATCTATAGACCATATTCACTACGAGTATATACTGAGGAAAGACTATCCTTTTTCAATTTGTTCAGAGGTGAAATATTTGTGTTATATCTAATTGTATTTGGATTTCAGAAATAATACCTACAACCCATCAGCACAATTAGAACCTCAATTAGAAATATGAGAATAGTAAAATTCCAATATGTATCTTTATGAATTTATTTGTTTAAAAATCTGTTCTCATTGCCAATGTCCAGATAATATAACAAAAGAAAACTATTTAAGAATAACATATAATTTATTATTCTTCCCAAAAATCCATCTTCTACCTATGTGAACTTTCCCTAACATTTTTTTCTACAGACTTGTTACAATTCTTTCTGTGGATAATTTTTTGAAATAGGGAATGAGCCAAGAAAAAAATTTCACCCAGTATGTGACAGCAAATTTTAGTAGCAGGATAGCCATATCTAATCTTATCAACTCCATCCATTGAGTAAACTAATTAAGATGACAAAATTCTTTATTTTCCAATAGTTGAACTAGAATATATTTTTTAATTGATAATTCTTAGGTTAATTTTTCATTTCATTAAAGGCTCATTTTTTAAAACACTAACTATATTTTAATTTCGTCATAGGCAGTAAAACTTCCTGTATATAATTACAAGAAGGGGGCTGTAAGGTATTTAACCGTACTCTCATTCATTCAACATTTGTTTAAAATATGGTACATTACTGTTTTTTCATATTCTCACCACATCGGTCAAGTCATTGACGATAACAGAATCGGGAACAGAGAAAAGATCCCCAGCTCTAGAGAGATCTCTATTTTTCAGTACTTGCATGAATAACTCATGCATTTTTCTGTTTATCTTCTGGTCTGCGACGTTGAAACTCATGTATTTTGTTATCTGACAATCCACAAAATCAAAACAAGCGAAGTTTTATCTAATCTTCCCAGCCAAAAGATCAAAACAAACGAGATCCATCATTCTTCACTAACGCAACACACAACTTTCACACTAAAGAAAAACTGTGATAACGGTCGTAAAGAAACATTTTGTTAGTACAAAACTGTAAAAGTAAAAATGCAACATATTTCAACTGTGGTCAACGACTCGAACTCAAAACCTCGGAATAAGCTTAGCAAGTATGTTCGTTCATACAGGTGGTCAATACCTGAGCATGCGCGAGGCACCTGACTGAGTTCCTATATTTATATTTTATTGCAACTACTGGGCGTGCCACGTAGAATTGTGTTTTTTAATGGGAATCACTGTAGTTTTTCGAGATTATTATGTTAAGGCTTAAGGATTAGATTTCTAATTGAATCTGCGATTCTTTATAGTGGATTGGATAATGATATAAAAATAGATTGTTTTTAAAAATAACATTTTATTGTGATTTCAATGTACTCAACAGTAAAATTGTTTAAGGTAGTTAATACTAATAGACAACTTGAAAAGGTAAAGTAGGTATGGAAATGGATATCATTTGAATTTCTCTCAGTGTTCCAGAACAGGATCAGAGCTAAGAGTTGGTCTATATTATCTACACTAAGAAAAATACACTTTCTAATGAATTGAAGAGGGATATTTCTTAAGAGATTTTTTTTAAAGTTTTTTGGCTCCCTACTTCTCCGTTTTCATAAAAAATGTGGAAAAATTCCTAAAAAGGCAAGAAAGCATGACCACTTAGAAATGTAGAAATGAGAACGAAACAAACAATTCAACCCATGCATCTACTACAAAGAAAGACGTACCTACACGCAAATTATATGCGAAAATAGCCGTTTTTTTAAGGACAAAAGACAAGCACTACAGGAAAATCCTTAAGGCGCTCTAACGCTAGTTGCACACACACCGATTTTGGACGGCCGACTTTGTACCGGTCGTCCAAATTCCAATAGTGAACCACATGTGGGAACGGGACCTGGCACACACGCCGACCGGTGATCGTCGCCGGTAAAATACCGGTGAGCAGCCGTCCACTGCCACTGTATCGCCGGCAGTACCGGGAAGTAGTGGCGTACCTACATGACTAAATACACTCTTGCATACTCACCGGTTCTTTACCGACCATTCCAGGCTCGAATGCTCGGTGAAATTGTAGTTACTACGCATTAATTTCGTTTTGGTAGTGCGTGCTGATTACGACAACAAAGCAACTGATTGTTCGACCGATAAAAATCCGGTGAGTGTGCAAGCACCCGCTACCAATAAAATATCGGCCGATTTTATACTGGCCGTCCAAAATTGGTGTGTGTGCAACTAGTGTAAGAGCGGTCCCTGTGCGACCGACCGGTCGGTCGGTAGCCGGGCGGTTCACTAAGTCAATCGGCCGATGTGTGAGTCGATGGTTCAAGCCACAGGCTGAACGCTCAATTTTCACTTACTATCGTCCAACCCGTGTTAGGAATCACACGTTAAAAGGCAAGACCTCGTTAGTTCTTAGCTCGCACAAGTTTCGAATTCTGAGGGTTATCGTTCGTAGGGGTGTGATACCTGGTTAACAGAAAAAACATATTTTAAAATTTTTTTTAATGGTGGTTATCGGGTCCATATATGGTGGTTATCGGGTCCATATAAGCCCCATAGGCATTATGGAATCTAGGTTTACTATTATTCATCTAGTGAGCACTTAATTAGCATTTTATTTTGATTGTCTATGTATTAGTTTACGAGTATCTCAAGACTTTATTGCATATTGTTAATTTTTTTTCTCAAATCAGGTATCTCGAATTTTTTTTCACTTATTCGCGGTCGTTTTCATCTTAATTTTTTGCAAGCACCTAATTGGCACTTTATTACCACGCTAGTTTATACCTGATAGAGCATTCGTCCTCGTTTTCGAGAGACCTGATTCTTAGATCTGTTGTTTAGCGAAATAGGAAGCTTTTGTTTATTAATTAGAAAATTTTACGATCCTCACCGTTTAGCACTTAATTAGCACCTAATAGTATTCTCTTAACATTCATTATTTTATTATTATTTTCATTGTGTTGCTAGCATCACATACTGCTAGCAACGCAACTTTGAGTATTGAGTTGCGGTGTAAGTTACAGAGCACCTAATTTTTGACTTCGGTACCTAAAAAGCACCTAAAAAGTACCTAATTTTGGCATTTTCTAAATGCGATTTCCGTACTTTGCGTTGATGGCGTAACAGAGCTGCATCCGCGGCCGTTGGAATATTTGAAAATCTTTTCTTATTGCACATTTACAACATAAAACGAACCTACATACAAAATTTCAGCCTACGAAAATATAGCGGTATGGAGAAACAGGGATGAAAAGGTAATATTCATATGTAAACTCACCACTTTTATACGCAGTGGGGGCGCCCCACTTGGAATATTTGGAAATCTTTCTTATTGCACATCTACAACATAAAACGAACCTATATATAAATATCAGTCTCCGAAAATATAGCGGGTACGTAGAAACACTGATGAAAAGGTAATTTTCATATGTAAACGCTTCCTTTTCACTCCTATGGGGGGATTCCCAGTTTGAATATTTGAAAATTCTTTTATAGTGCTCATCTGAGACCTAAGTGAGGGAAAAGGGGATAGGTTCGAATGTCCTATAAATATTCATCTATGGAAGGAATAATCCAGTCGTCACACGAAGATGATTGAGGATACTAACAATCGAAACGTCGTGAAGTAACTTGTTTTGAATTCTTTTTCATTAAAATTTACAGTTCCTATTCAAGTTATGTTATGTTATGTAGTATTCCGTTCTTGCATTGATGTTGGTTGTGTAATTATTATATGTAGTTTGAAATGATGACTGTGCCAGGATGGTATTCACAATTTTATTTGCAATAAATGTTTTTCATTATGTGCGTTCTCTCTTACAAAAATTAAAGGTATCCTGTTTTCGTCCTTGGTTGGCATAGTCGATATTTGTCTAATGTCCATCTACATTAAAAGGGATTAACAAGGGATAATATTAAAAATAAATTCTATTGTGCTTATTCTATAAAGACTGGATGATTGCCGGGTTTTATATTTCATTGTTGGTACAACTGAATTTGTGTAAATTTCACTGAATAAATTTCACTATTTACAATTAGATAGATACCGCCATATTTTAACGTTTATCGCTTCGACCAGTAAAAACGCACTGACGTTTCGAATTGACTAATAGATGAATCAATCAGTGGACTCATCCTATGTATATTCTGTTTAAGAGTGCTAATTAATGAAGTTATGAATTGATGAATTAATGAAGTTATGACGGAAACAATGATTGCCAACAATTAAATATGAAACCCAGTCACTAGTCAACCCTAGTGCTGTCAATCAAATCATCATTTGTTATAATGTGCTATTTTGAATTGGCGCCAACAGCATCACTGATAGTACTATTTGCACCACATTTTTTAACGAATTATTTTGGTGGTGGAGGACTAGTGAATCTTCTATGTATTTTTATCTTTTTTCATCACTACATTGTTTGAAGGATAGAAATACATTAATTGTGCACGAGTTCAAGTACAGCTATTTTACTATTCATTCATTAAAACGGACAATTTTCCCAAATTGAGCCTTGAGAAGTAAAAGCATAGGTATCGACCAATTCGTATCAATCGACGCGTAGGTATAGAAAATTTCGAATCAATCGATGGGGATATTGACTTTCAGGGCATCAAAATTCCTGGTTTCAACATACATTCCACAACAACATCATCTGAAAACATCGACCTTTTGAAATGTTGGGCTCTCGCAAAAATCGGGTAATTTCAGACACACTTGTGGGTAGTTTGCTAGTTTGACAATTCATCATTGGCAACACTGGTGGTAATGGGTGATATTGTTATTACATAGTAGAATAATTGGCTAAGGTTAGATTAACAAATTAAATGTTTGCATCCGTGTAGGGATGTACCCATGACAAAAATTGAAAAATTTGCATAAAAGGGTTTAAAGAAAAGTAGAATAACTTTTCGTCTGAGGACAAATATTTTTGTTTATAGAGACAAACGACGACGAAGAGAATAGATTGATAAGGAGAACATTATGGTTTCTGAAAAGTGTCTAAGAAAAGTAATTTTGAATTCTGATGTTTATACGCTATGTGTTCAGCATGCATTGACAACAGAAAAACAGGAAATCATGGGATTATTAGTGGGAGAGGTGAAAATATTAAATCACTGAAGATTTTGATTATTCCATTTCAGATTTCAGGTTGACGATATCAAATGCATTTCGAAAATTTCAGCATGTGTTACATTACACCGCAGTGATAAGCAGCCTGACAGAGTAGAAATATCCCCCGAACAACTATGTACTGCTTCCATGTATGCTGATCAACTCTCTAAAAAGTTAGATAGGCCAATGAGAGTACTTGGCTGGTATCATTCACATCCCCACATAACTGTGTGGCCCAGCCATGTTGGTACCGTAATTCAACATATAAAAATGTTCTGTTGATGATTTAGCTGTTTTTAGATACAAGAACTCAGGCAGTGTACCAAACAATGGATCCTTTATTTGTAGGCTTGATATTTTCAGTCTTCCAGAATGATTCACGATCACTTAACAATCTCATTCAAGTTACATGCTTTCAAGCCCACCAAGGAGCCTCAGACCTGGAAAGAACAGAAGTTGAGCTTGTGATCCAAAATTCTCCTTTTGAAAATTATGATTTGAAAGGTAAAACTATCTAATAATTAAATACATCTGCAGATATGAAAGTTTATTTAAATTTCCAGGAATTGCGGATCTTCCCCGTATACTAATCCAGGAGGAAGTGGAATGCCATGATGTGAAAGATAATGACACTCAAGATGAGCTAGCTAATATTCACAATGATTCATTTAAAACACTTGCTCTGGTTCATATTGTTTCAAAATTATCTCGTCCTCTTTGTGATGATCTTGAAGAGAGATTGAAAACCGTAAATCAGAGAATAAGGACATTAGAAAACTTGAAAAAAGAGTTGCAAAAACGTTGATGACATGAATTTGTCATCTTTTGATGTGATTGAACTAATTATAAGCAACATTATAAATATATATTGAGTTAATTATTTTTACCTAGTATAATAGGTATTTCAAACAGGTAAAAAATTAACTTAGACTCAGTCATAAAATCTTATTTCATTTTCTCAAAGGAATAAAATAGGTGAATTACTATTGGAGTTTCCTGGATGAGTGAATTGAGATGGGGATGTGGTTCTAGAATTAGTTGATATTTTTCTCAAAGGTAAGCTGTGACTGTTTGTTGTTGAGGTCTTGAATAATAACTATATGAATTGATAGATATTATGTTTTTTGTAAATCAGGCAATACGAAAATACAAGTAACAGTGAGAATTTTTCTCTCAAAAATAATGGTCTGCATGACTCACGTACTCCTACTTTGCATAAGTATTTAACCGCTCGCTTTTGCAAAACAAACACTGAATGAAAAAGTTGTTGACTGCAAAATCCCCAGAAGGCAACACCATATCTCAGGTGGGACTCAATGATTACTATTTTGGTTGTAGATGATCTCAGTTTATTTTGAAACTATTCGAAGTGCATAACATCATCATGTCAATTTTTTATTCAAAGTTGAATTGGAAGTTGATTTAAATTTTTATTTAGTCGTGGATGTCTAATTTCAGTATCCATCATTAAGGCTTTGTAAAGAAGCATTTAATGTTTTCCTCAAAGCGACTTCCATTCCTGAACAACACAAAAACCCACCAGTAGTTTAGTGCACACGGCTTACCGTATCACATCACTCAACTCGTTGACAACCTGTAGTCAACACTAATAACTCAATGTTTTCGCACATAAACAGAAAAGCGAAACTGGAAGAAACGACAGAAGCACTATGACAAAATGACTATGTATCATAAAGCATCAAGAGCTAAATTAAATCAAAATGTACTATTGTCGAAGATGAAATCTCATTGACAAAGTGTTACTATCTTAAGAAATATAAGATACACAACTTAAAAGATATTGTCGAAGATAAAATATCATTGTCAACGTGTTATTATTTTAAAGAATATAAGTTATACAAATTAAAAGTAATATTTGAGCATTTGGTGATTTCAGCATTTTGGGGTGAAAAAGTAGTCAGAGTGTAATAATATATATATGCTACATATTGAAATAAATAATAATGATAATGAATATTCTCATGGAACACATAAATGTAAGTATGAGAATAGAAAAACTATAAAGCATAAAAATATAAAAGTGAATGCATAAAAAAAACAGTAAGTATCAACTTCGTTAAAATATTCAACTATACAGTTCATAGTTTAAATACCAGTAGGTATTGAAACACAATAATTAAAATTAATTGTTTATATAATTTAAATTTCTGTCTGAAAAGAATTCGTCTAAAGAATAAAAGGCCTTTGATTTCAATTGGCAAATGGTAACATTTTTTCTGATGATATTGGAATCGGTAAACCTATATTGAGCTTATTTCTGGTATTTCGCCGTGGTGAAATGAAAATTTCCGTCCTGTATTTTTTTTGCATCAGACAACATTTCTAAGATAAGTATGGAAGGCAAGGTCAAGATTTTATGCTTTCTGAATAAAGGTCGACAGGAATGCCTCTACACATATTTCTAACTCACAACACGTTCCCCAAAAACAGATACCGTATCTCAGATGGGAATCAATGAGAGCAAAGTACACATTTTTTGCCATATTAGTGCCCAATTCATTTGCTGATACTCTGACTGCAAAGCATCCTGATGACATTTTTTTACATAGGTTATTTATGTGACCTTCAAAATCAAGATTTGTATCAATTTGTAATCCCAGAAATTTTGCCGACTTTTTGTTTTCTATTAATTGAGTACCCAGGTAGATATCGAGTTTGGAGCACTTGAGGGTGATGATGCTAGTTTTTGAGATATTAAATGACAAGAGATAAGCATCACACCAGTCTTTTATTTTTATAATATCCATGCTGATCATATCATGCAGTTCCCTTTCATTCTTGCAATGCCAAAATAATGTGTCATCAGCGAATTTGGTTATTTCTGCGGTTATATCAATGTGGGCTAGGTCGTTAATATATAACAAGAGAATTGGGCCTAGAACCGATCCTTGTGGAACACCACAAGTGACTGTCTGGAGATGGGATATGTTGTCCGGGAGTTTGACTTTCTGAGTACGTTCTGACAGGTATGATCTGAGCCATTTCAAAGATATATCTCTAAACCCACACACTTCTAGTTTTTGCAGCAGAATTTCATGATCCACGCAATCGAAAGCTTTTGAAAGATCGCAAAAAACTGCCGCTGCTATTTCATGATTATTTAAATTGAGATACACGTTTTCCAGTAGATGAAACACAGCATCTTCCGTGTTTTCAAACTCTGAAACCTAAACTGACTGCTACTAATAATATGCTTATTCACAAACATCATAATTCTTTGTTTATCGACAAAAGAAGAAATTTTGCCTACCACCAGACTGAAAGACCAAAACACTAAATTTAATCATAGTTGTTACTGATTGAATGAGTATATGAACAATAAAAAAATAATGAAGAAAAGGGAATTGAAAAGTTCTATGTTTTTTACCACTTTTATTTGTAACTAACGTTACTGCAGTTTCGTCGTATAAGGACATTTTCACCACTTTTATTTGTAACTAACATTACTGCATTATGATTTCCTACCACGTAGTAACGGCTACATCCATCAATTTGATAAAAAAATAACATAAGAAATAAAACTTATGGATATTAACAATGGTATTGTAAATTGTTTTGTAAATTACTTTTTATTAGGTTCTTATCACGAATTCACTATACAAATCCACAGACAGTTTACATATTTCCGACTACTACATTGAAATAACAGCAATAATAAACCAACTTATGGTAGCCCCAGGAAAACTTTTAGCTAGTTTAAATTATCTTTTCTTCATTATGATTTCCTACCACGTAGTAACGGCTACATCCATCAATTTGAGAAAAAAATAACATAAGAAATAAAACTTATGGATCAATGGTATTGTAAATTATTTTTTTATTAGGTTCTTATCACGAATTCACTATACAAATCCACAGACAGTTTACATATTTCCGACTACTACATTGAAATAACAGCAATAATAAACTAACTTATGATAGCCCCTGGAAAACTTTTAGCTGGGGCAGGTGGGATTTTTTTTAACTTTTAAAACTACATTTAATTTCGCAAAATCCTCACAAAAACAATGTTTAATCTTTCCTTACCGATGGGAACTTGTCCTGCATTATGGAAGCAAAGTTTTATAATACCAATGGATAAATCTGGAGCTAGAGAAATTATTGGAAACAATCGTCCAGTGAGAAAGCAATCTGAAACTCTCAATGTAATCAAAAAACACTTCAATGTGGTATTTTTACTTGAAAGTTTAGGTACAAAACCGTTATTTTATAGCGAAACACGTGTGGCGGTTCCTTCCTTCCTTCCTTCTTTATTGGCCGCTGCTTCCTATTCAGGCGCAATTGGGTCCAGCTCAATACCTGGGGCTGTCTTTATTTGAGCTAAGCTCATGAACAACCCATTAAATTTGTTCAGTTCTTCTATTCAATTTGTTCACTTCTTAGTATTTTGAAAAAATTAATATTGTTTAGAGACTGAAATTATTTGTTTGGTAAAATCCTGTCTCCACGTGGACATTCAGTCCCCGGCCTCCAACCGGCGTGAATGGGAGTGCTGTTTCTCTTCAACACTTATAGCACAGAACACCCTGTTAGGGTGTTCTGTGCGTATAGACTGTTCACAAAAATGTTTAATTTAATGGTGGCACGTTCTATGACGGCAGACATTCACGACACAAACTGAGTTTCGTCTCCAACAATGGCGTCCGCGTACCTTCTTTGTGGACGGTCGCTATCGGCACGTCCGTCCACCATCCATCAGAAACGAAACTCACGTGTGGCGGTTTCTGAAACTTTCAAGTGAAAACTTCACATTAATGTGTGTTTTGAAAACGTTATAATGGATTTTCATCAAGTATCGGTCAGTTCTATCATATTGACATTCTCGAAATACTAAAGGGTTCGATAACTGAAAAAAATAACAAAAATTAATCTTCTCCTGAAGAATTATTGTATATTGATGATGAAAATGTGGAGATGGGGGTAGTAATAACAGTGAGATTCAAAATATCCTAGAAATCTCCGGGAACTTCTGAAAGGTTTTCCAAACGAAATAATAGCCTGTTCTGGTTCTCTGCCCGGACTATCCTAACAGTCACCCAACTGAATATTGAACATGTCGCATAAACCTCTTCAGTTTACATCTGACTCACTGAACAATACAAACTGAGAACGAACAAACCTTATAATGAAATGATATAACGACTCATCATTCATGTATTGTGACAGGGATAAAGGGACATTCATAGTAATTGTAGAATCTACATCAGAAAGGAGAAATCTGAGACCTTTTTCTCATTTAGTAATTGTTGAATATGCGTGTGCTTACAAATTAGAAAATATAGAAAAATCAGAATGAATGGAAGGAACAGAGTAAAAATAGAGTTGAGCGATGAAGAAATTGCAAACGGTATGGTTAACTGAGAGACAGAGAGTATAAAACATTTTCCGTAAACCTACTGATGCAAGGTTTAAAAGTAATATATCGAAATAATTTACAGAAGAATTATAACATATGACAGTCCTCTTGAGGTAATCCAGGTTGAATGAATGAATAGAAGTACAATAAACGGAAAAATAACGTATGTAGCAGCATCTAACATACTATGTAATTACTTCTGAAGAAACAAGAATACCATGATATATTAATATTTGTTACATGTCAAAATTATGTAACAAACATATGTCCCACTGGTGACTCAGTGTTTTGTTTACTATAGGCATCATGGTCCATAAATCAAAGATCTCAAAAAAAAATGCAATATGCCCGACAGATTTTGATTCCCGCGGACGCCCATACATTCATGAATTCACAATTAAATAAGTTAAAAAACATAAACAATGAACATAGGCTTTGTTTAACATTCGATTATTCCGATAAACTATTGGCTGTTTGAGTAGCGTCATTATCGGTGAAAATTCCTCCCTAACGCTAGTTGCACACACACCGATTTTGGATGGCCGACTTTGTATCGGTCGTCCAAATTCTAATAGTGAACCACAGGTGGGAACGGGACCTTGCACACATGCCTACCGGTGATCGTCGCCGGTAAAATACCGATGAGCAGCCGTCCACTGCCACTGTATCGGCGACAGTACCGGGAAGTAGTGGCGTACATGACTAAATACACTCTTGCACACTCACCGGTTTTTTACCGACCATTCCAGTCTCGAATGCTCGGTGAAATTGTAGTTACTACGCATTAACTTCGTTTTGGTAGTGCGTGCTGATTACGACAACAAAGCAACTGATTGAATCTAATCAAATAACCTATGGCTGGGATCTAATCAAATAAGCGAATGAATGTTATTCACGTACTGTCATCGATGACATGGGTGGATTTAACTCATTTCGGTACAAAAATTTTTAATTTTATGAACGAATTGAGTGTTTTTTCATAATGTTACCTATCCGTATTTGGTACTGAAGAGCCGATAACACAAGTGTCTTACGGCGAAACATCGGATGTCTACCAGTAAGGATGACAGTGTTCCATGTAAGTGAAATTTCACTTCTTCCATCAATTATATTGTGTAGGAATTCTCTGAATAATATCTGATTCGATTCCAAACGAATGTTTAGAATTCAAACAGAATAGAGAGACATGTTCTTTATATAATTCAGCGTTCATATAAAAGTATTTGTTTCGGAAGTATTTTTTTTCCGTGTAATTCAATGTTTATATGAAAATAGTTGTTTTCTTTCAGTTGGTGTCTGAAAGTTGCTTCTTTGCATGATCTACACATCTTTGTATAAACTTAATTTCTGAAATTGATTGCTTCCTTTCTTTCTTTGGAAGATTTCCACATTTTTTGTATCAAGATGAAAAAGCAGAAAGCCAAAACCTTCCTTTCCCAGAAATCGAAAAAGAAAATATACCATTTCAATAAAATTCTTGAATGTTGTAAAATATTTTCCTTTTGGCAACATTGTCCACGCCATCTTCCAATATCTCTAGAAGTTAGTACAAAAACAGTAAACTATTTCTAAAACTGTCAAAAATGTCAAAATAAACAATTCCTATTTTAGCGGCACTTGCAGCATGGACGTGAGTTAACAAGTCGCTTTTGATTCAATACCGGCAGTATTGAAAACAATTTTTATTCTTTCAGTTTATTTCAAGAATTTAAAAATGGGTTGTTCTTTTTTATCAAAACCAGTGACCGAGAAATTGTCGGACGATGCATCAAATGATCGACTTAGTTATGGCGCCAGTTCTATGCAGGGTTGGCGTGTCAACCAAGAGGTAGGCTATAGTTTTCCAGTTCATTTGAAATTACATTGCAGCAGGTTGAAAAGTACTTTTTAATTTTTTTATAGGATGCTCATAATTGCGTACTAGACTTCGACAAAAGTACTTCATTTTTTGCTGTGTATGATGGACATGGGGGCCATGAGGTTGCCCAGTATTGTTCAGAAAAGTTACCTCAATATATTAAAGACACATCTGCTTATAAAGAAAATGACTTGGAGCGTGCCTTGATTGATGGGTTTCTGGGATTTGATCAAACCATTACTTCTCCAGAAGTTATAGAAACATTAACAAAGTTAGCTGGGGAGAATCTGAATGATGACGGTAGTGATGATGAAGAAAATATTGATAACTTGTATGAAGAAGCTGCAATGCCAATAGAGCAAGTGATTGAAAAGTATACCAATTTAGCAAACCCAGCTTTAAAAAATTTGAAAAAAGGGGAATTCCTGAAATCACCCTTTCTAAAGGCAAAAAAAGATACGTCGTCTGATGAGGCCTCATGTTCTGCCACATCAAGTTGCCAATCTGAAAATAAAGAAACATCAAAATCCCAGGATTCGAGTGGTAGCAGCTCTAATCTTGAAACTGTTGAAGGAACTGTCTCATCAGAGGTTAAAGGTATGGCCGTGTAGAATAATGATTGTATTTTTGACAACTACTGTTATCAAAAATGAATGTCTTCGTTTCATTTTTGTAATGGGAGGTTTACTTTTTACAGTTTTAGTTTACTGATATTGAATCTGGGTACAGGAGTAGAATATGATGTAGAAGTTGATTTTGATGATGCTCTCCTTAGAGAACCCTTAGGTTAGAAATTATAAAAGCGAAAAATTTTGATAAAGTACGTGCATCTGTTAATTTACTGATAAGTAAACCATAACCATCAAATTAATCATGTTGAAACTATTCATGATTGGTAAAAGTCCAACAAGTGTCATGAAATTATTTAAGTAACATTTGAATGAACTTTGCAACTTTGTAAAAAACAAAAGAATCTAAATTATCACGACTAGTCTGTGTAATTGATGACTTGAATGAAATGATGAATGAAAACCCTTTTGTCTTATTTACACTAGTTCTTTTATTTTTATTACCGGTTTTGGGTTTTATCCCAGTATCAAGTATAGAAAGAACTAACTAATACATTTGAAATCAGAAAACTAGATTTTATAGGAAGTTTGTAGGTAAGCTTACCTAAAACCTGAAACTGGTCGTAAAAATAAAATAACTAGTGGAAATTAGTGTTTTCATTCATTTTATTAAAGGTATCACAACTAGCACTTTTTAAATTTCATGTACAGTTCTATTTTTCATTTAATTTCTTCTTCATATAATTCATGAAGTATTTATTTTCTCTTTCTAATTTCATTTACACTCAGTGTAATATCTCTGAATTTTTACAAGGGACCCTACAGGTTATGGTCTGAATTATACTATAATTACAAAATAGTAGGCACTAAATTCTCAGTAATGACTGACATTTTCGCCTTAATCTGTCTGCAGCGGCGTACGGAAATTATACTAAAAGATGAGGAAAAATGATGTTAAAATATATAGAATCACAACACTGACAACAATGTTTTATTGCAATAATATTTCTGATAATTTAGTGCCTACTATTATGGAATTGTACTATAGACTATAACTCTTGGGTTCAGTTATCTGTTCAATATTCATTGAACTTTCCAGTATTTTCATTTTTGTTAATTATGGAAATACTGAATTGAACCAAAGTCATTTATTGAGAAGATAAATTTGTTTTTATCGACCTTCTTTGGGTATTTTTACCTTCCCTCATCTGACAAGTATGAAAATTGTAATAGAGAACTTCATACACTTGTAGAAAGGGCAAACTTTTTAGTTTACTTTGATAAGTTATTGCGTAAATTCAAAGTATTTTTCACAAATCCACTTTGAGGTCAACCAAAGTTTTTAAGGCACATTTTTAAACTCACTATCGCTGCAGCTTTCTATAGTTTATTCCGATAATTGCGGAGAAAAAAACATGTAAAATTCCATAAATCGAAATGTCAACTACTTTCAAGTCAAATAGCTGTCAGTCGTTATCTCACTATTATGGTAATGATCAACTACATTTAGCAAAACCATTCAGCATAGGATCTCAGTATAAAATGAGCTCCACCAAGTTGGTTGATGGATGTCAATGTCAATAAGTATATTGCATATGGGTTGACTGAAAAATTTCAGTCCAGATTACGATGAATTAACAATTTGAGAATGATTTTTTTCTAACTTTCAACTGGTTTGGTTAATAGACAAATTCCATAACAATCGAAAGTACAAAGCCTATAGAATATGCAAACATTAGGTTGACGTCACAACTCTTGTGTAGGCAGGTATAAACAGGTAAATCGATACTAATAACGTGCACTGGTCTGGTAAATTAATTGAAGTCAAGTTGAAATGAAGATTATTTCATTACAAACACGGTGGTATAGGGTTGTATACGAAAAATTAGTCTTGAATTCCGGTTGTCGAGTTTTAAAAAGTGAAATATTGCTACGAGTGAATACGTCCGACAGACAGGTCCCAGCGAATCATCCCATAGAAAAGGTCACAGTATTACAGCTGTGTGTAGTTATTCCATTTAATGAAAGAGAAAACGTAAGTTCTTTGCCCGTGGAAATGCAAAGGATAGCGATAGACTCGTAAATGCTGTGCATCATTTTGATTCTGTGATTCTGTCCGACTAGGCCAGAAAACATATTATTCAAAAACGAGTAATATTTATTGGTAACTTGTCATATTGAATAATTGTCAACAAGATGTTCAAATCTTAGGTAATGAAGCATACTTTGATTTGATTTGATTGAAAATATGAAATAAATGGCTGTGTCTACGATTCCTGTTTGGAACATGAATGTTGACAGATTCAAGTAATTCAGGACAAGTTATTAGTCCATTGAGCAGCTTGAATGCATAGCATAGATCTGCATGAATTCTTCTGGTTTGCAATAGTTTAAGCCCCATTTCTTGTAATATACTCAAATAGTTATGGTACTGTATTTGAAGACCCAACTTGAAAGAACAAAATCTCAGAAATTTATTTTGCACTTTTTCTAGAGACACACAGTGCACATTGTAAAATGGAGACCAAATGATACAAGCATATTCTAACTTAGACACCACTAGAACTAAATAAATCCTTTTTAATGCTTCAATGGAAAATCCTGAACAATGACGTAAAATAAGACCCAGTGTTTTGGATGATTTCACACTCACTTGGTTTATATGGTTTACAAATTTGAGTTGTTCGTCAAAAATGACCCCCAAATCTTTTATAGAGGAAGTGTATTCTAAGTGCTGATAATTTATGTTGTATGATGTATCGAATTTCCTACCAACTCTAGAGAAAGTAATAAAATGACATTTATTTAGGTACATTGAGAAATGAGTTATTTATAACACACCATTCATAAACTTTATCTAGATCATCTTGAAGGAGAATTTGGTCATTGTATGATTTTATCGGTATGAAAAGCTTCAGGTCATCCACAAACTTTAAAAATTCACTGTTCTCTAAATAGCATCCTATGTCATTCACAAAAATATTGAATAACAGGGGTGAACAATGTGATCCTTGTGGCACTCCAGATATTACTAATATATCACTCGATTTGCATCCTCCAATTTTAACCTATTGTGAACGACTAGCCAAAAAACTACCAAACCAATTTACCAAATGTTCTGTAAAACCAAAATTTCCGATCTTCTTCAATAGAATATTGTGATTTATTCTGTCAAAAGCCTTGGAAAAGTCAGTGTATAGAGTTAGAGTTAACTAATAATCATCTGTATGTTAGCCTACGATATCAGCCCATCTAGTATTTCCACTATGATTTAACATTCAGATTCATTACACACTTTTGGTTTTGTTCATATCCGAATACCAAAGCAACATCAGTTAATGACAAGTGAATAACGGCAGTCACGACAGTCTAATGCATTGCGATAAACGATTAAAAATGTTTGCTTCCGCAAAAACAGACAGCGCGTATAAATCTGCTAATGCACAAATATTCGATTTTCGGCTCCAATATTGAAGATGGAAATGTGTACTTTTGACCGGCTATAAAGAACACACAACTCTTCACATTCTTAGTTCGCTGTACAACTGATCACTTTCGATTCTGTGCTTTCAGTATTTGTGGTATTTCGTAAGTTCTGCCCAGATCACTCTGGATGTTTTACCTTTTGTATATTCAAAAAAGAATTCCTAATGAAAGTGATGACTACACATTTTTCTATGAATACATTTTTGGAATAAGATAATTATATACTTAGGGAATGGAACCAAGAAAACAAGGCTTTAAATGTTAAACATTATTTATTTTCAATGCTCAACTATATTTCTGAATTAATTTTTAAATCAATGTTAATATTTGGGTAAATTGGAAGTATGATATTTAGATCTTTTTTTAGATGAACCTGAAAAATCAGAACCAAACGGTGCAGTCCCTCAAATTAAGGTGTCGTCGCCGGAAAATCTTGGTACCGAAGAGAGTGACACAACTACTGAGACACCAAAGAATGATAATAAATCTGAATCACCGCAAAATGGAGAAATCTCGGATGAAAAGTCGAACGCTGATCCCACTAGCTCTACTCCACAAGAAAATGGAGATGTTACCAGTAAAGGCAAAGGAAAGGCTATTCCTAAAAATAAATCCCCAAAAACACCTGCCATAGTGAGACCTAAACGAAACGCTAATCAATTATATAAGGCGTTATTGAATTTTGGGCAAGACAGTGAGGATGATGAAACTGAAGATGATGACAAAACTTTTGAGGGGCCAAATGGTAATTTTAATATATATTAATTTATATGATTTTTGATGTTTTGACTGGTCCATGTGAAAAACTAGTGCTTGAAAAATTAGTGTGTGAAAAATTGATAATTCGCCAAGAAAGCATGAAAAAGGTTAAAAAGGGTATTGCTGCTGTGTTTTAAGTATGTTATATCGTAC